ATATGATATGAACTTAAAATATGAGAAGATCTCTAGATGATTTTTTAATTTGAAAGAAATTTTTTTGAGAATTTCTTAATTTAAAGAAGATCTCTAGAACTCTTAATTTTCATATAGGAAAATAAGTGAATCTTGCCATGATCTTGGGAATCCGTCCATGATTTTATCCATGATCTTGTGAATTAAATGTTTTTGATTTAATATCCTTTTTTTTTGGAAAGAAGTATCCCACCATGATCTTGTGTTTAATGCATTTGATTTCCCACATGTTGATTTTACTTCTTTTTTGAAATATATGATCTTGGCTTAGAAACTTAGAATGATATGATTGGATTCAACTTGGATTAGATTTTTGAAATTCCTTGATCTTGGTTTCTTTTTTATCATTTGAGAAAGATATGGAGAAGAAAAGGAAACTTTTCTTCTTGAGAGAAAAATCTCTCTGAGTGGGAAAAATCTCTCAAGGGTAAGGAAGATTTTCTCATGTGTTACTCTCGGATTTTAATAGAATTTTGGACTCTTTATTGGCCGATTCTTTTCTTGGCTTGGTTGGTTGCTTGAATAGTACAAGCCATCCGTGTTTACATCATCTGGATATCGGGAATCATAGATGAAGGAATTTATCCCTATTGACGAAATGACTATGACACTTTCCTTGTGAAGCAAACTCTCTATGACATAAGGTGATATACGGTATCTACGGAAGTGATAGGGATGCGTGGGAAGCTCTTGCTAGTAGAACCACGAGTCATTGAAGTCCCTGAAAATTCATTTCCCAAACCCATCCATTGTTTTACCCACTCACTTGTATTCAAGTGGGAAATGGCTCTAGGACACTTTTCAGGGAAGATTTGTGGTTGGGGGACCAGATCTTAGCCACCAAATTCTCGAGGCTTTGGTAGTTATCTACTAGACATAGTACTTGCATCTCAAGCTTCATCATTAACATTGGTAACAACCTATCTTGGAACTTTCACTTCAATTGAAACCTATTTGATAAAGAGACTGCCAATTTGACAACTTTATTGAATTTACTTAAACCTATATACACGACCATGCAACCTGTAGAAAATAAAAGAATCAATTCAGTTTTTGTTTTTTGTTGTTATGAACCTAGTGTTTAGTCTAGTGGAGGTAATCACAAAGTTGGTGAGGTATAACAGATTTTGTTATTCCTCATTCCCATAAAGTTGTTAGAATTTTCTTAGGTTTTTGTTAGAATTTGGTTGCATGTTTCCTATAAATTGACACCTTATGCTGATGGAAAAATTTGGCAGAAGTAGAATTTCAATTCTCTAAAACTTCATGGTATCAGAGCATACCTGATTCAAGTGAATCATTCTTGCTTTGTCGAAGTCACAAATGGCCACAGGTGAGCTTCCGTCTTCTCCACCCGAGGTCTCTTTGGGTTCCTATCATCACATATCCATCAACAACGGTGTGGATGAAATGTCTTCGTCCTTTATCACAGGACACAAACTAAAAGGCAATAATTACCTTCAATGGTCGTCGTTCGTTCTGCTGTTCATCCGAGGTAAGGGGCGCGACGAGTATCTCACTGGCGAACTCATACCTCCTCCCGCGGCTGACCTGAAGGCTCGTACATGGAAGATCGAAAACAGCATGGTCAAGTCATAGCTCATAACTTCAATGACTCCAGAAATCAAAGAGAATTTCTTTCTCTATGAGACCACACATGAGATTTGGGAAGCGGCTCAGGAATTTTACTCCAACAAGGAGAACACCTCTGTCATCTTTGAGATAGAATCGACTCTTCACGATCTTCGGTAAGGTGAGTTAAGCGTAACCCAATATTATAATGTTTTGACCCGCAGCTGGCAGCAATTGGATATCTTTGAAGAGCATCGATGGAGCTGTCTCGAAAATGCGAAAGTCTTCAAATCGATTGTTGAACAGAAGGGAGTCTTCAAATTTCTTTTGGGATTAAACAAAAACCTCGATGAGGTTCGGGGATGCGTGCTGAGTATCAAGCCATTGCCGCGTCTTTGTGAGGCCTTCTCTGAGATTCGGCGAGAAGAAAGCCGAAGGAAGTTCATGCTGGGAGACGCCGAACTCACCCACCAGACCATAAATTCCTTTGCGCTCACAACTTGAGAACTGGATGCTCATACGAAGAAGATGAGACCCTGGTGTGACCATTGTAGGAAGCTTAGGCACACACGCGAAAAGTGTTTGAAGCTTAGGCACACACGCGAAAAGTGTTTGAAGCTTCATGGCAAGCCGAATGATTAGAAGCTCTTCAAGCCAGAAAACTCAAACAAGCACCAGGGAAATCACGTGACTACTGAAGAAATTCACTTGCTACTGTGGAGAGAAGTCTCTTTAGTCCTGAACAGTTGGAAGCTCTCTAGCGCATGCTGTCCCAGAAAAGTTACTCGGTCAGTGCTTCAGTGGCACACAAAGGTAATATTTTTGGTTTGTCTGCTTACTCAGAAAAAGGGCAGGTTTGGGTTGTAGATTTAGGAGCATCTGATCATATGACTGGAGATGCCTCAATATTTCAAAAATACAGCAAGTGTAAAGAAGATTATTCAATCAAAATTACTGATGGGTCCCTCTCAAAAGTGGCAGGAACGGGTTCTGTAAATTTGTCTCCAAATTTGACTCTCTGCTCAGTCCTTCATATTCCAAATCTGGATTGTAATTTGTTATCAGTAAGCAAGTTATGTGAAGATTTAAATTGTGCTACCAAGTTTGTCTCTAACATGTGTGAATTTCAGGACTTGGACTCGGAAAGGATGATTGATAATGCTAGGATGAGCTCAGGACTATACTTGCTTCAAATCAATGCTTCGAGAAGACAAACTCACAATGCAATATATGCAAACTCTGTTTTTGCAAATAATGACCATGATATTATGTTGTGGCACTATAAAGTAGGACATTTAAATTTCGTGTATCTAAAAAGGTTGTTCCCCTTGCTATTCAAAGAAAAAGATCCTATTTCATTTCAATGTGAAGTATGCCAATTTTTTAAGCATGTTCAAAGTTCAAATCAATATTTCTAGAAGACAAACTCACAATGCAGTATGTGCAAACTCTATTTCTGCAAATAATGACCATGATATTATGTTGTGGTAGTATAAAATAGGACATTTGAATTTCGTGTATCTGAAAAAGTTGTTCTCTTACTATTCAAAGAAAAAGATCCTATTTCATTTCAGTATGAAGTATACCAATTTTCTAAGTTTGTTCGAAGTTCAAATTAATGCTTCAAATCAATGCTTCTAGAAG